ATTCCTGCTAAAAGCAAAAAAAGAGGGTATGTAACAATATCAAACACCCCAGTTGTACAGTGACTTCTCCAAGTACATTATCACACACATACAGTTGTTTTAACTGTTTACCACTTTCTCATGTACAGTGAATTTTAATGCACGTTGAACTGCTAGCCTTAGCCAACTTCCGTAGCGTCCAAACTTGCTTACCAGTGGTTTTTAAGGGAAGCAATTTCTCATCAAAGTGATTCCAGTTGATGTGGCCTGACCCCATCCCAATGAATGTATTTTCTGTTTTCACTGCTGCTGTCAGGAACACATCTCTGTGGGATGCCCCTAAGTGTCCGCAGCCTGCACACCCGGTTTTTGAAGGTTGAGGAAGCTTGGCAGATGTTTCCAACCTCTCTGGTGCAGAGCAATCCTCTCCTTGCTTTCAAGAAGTTGACTTCTTTGTAGTAGCTTCCATATTTGTTTTGACTCGCTTCTTCACCAAGTAGTAATCTGGAGAACAACCCATAAACGGAATTAGCGCTACGACATTGATAATGGCTGCTTTTCAAGAAATCTCTTGAACCTTGATTTTGTGTCGAAGAGGCCATTAAGACTTCTCTACGGCTTGTGAATGAACAAAAACAATACCTTTAGCATGTTCCATGTAAAGCTATGTAAGACCAAGTAAAACAAAGGAAATGTGCTGGCTTTTATCCAGTTGAGATCAAAAGACTTAGGACTCTCTTACGCAAGCTGAGCAATGTGACATTTCACTCCAGCTTTTAGATCCATGCCTGCAGTGCTTTCCAGAGAGAAATAGGGGGTTTTTCCTTCCTTAAAAAGAACAAAAAATAATCTGCAAAATAACATCAGAAGAACTATATATATGGGGCACTTTCTTTCTGCTTATTAGGTCAAACTGCAGATTCAAGGAGGACTGCATAAAACCTTGCACTGTCACTGAATTATAACTAATTTTTTGCTCAGAGAGTAAGCCCTGTGGCTCATGGGGAAAGAACACCCGTTACATTCTCATATGTGGTTGAATCTCTAGTTTCAGGTGCAAACATTGATCAACCTTACTACAGAACCGTGATTACAACACAGCAGTTTCCCTATGGGTTCCTTCTCTGCCTCCCAGCCTCACACAAAAACTTACTTTTTTTCAGGCAAATAGGGCAGAATTGTCTTAAATGGAAGCTAGATGCTTACTTACATTTAGAGTTCATGGGATTTACCTGGGGTAAATTGTCTGTATTCATAGTAATGAATTCACTCCTGTTTTAGCCGAGGATGCAGGCTCCACGATATTTAAACCCGAGCTTTCTACATAGTCAAATTGGCAACACTTATCGAGTCCTAGCAGCATGAAGTCTTGCGTTGATTTCAACACAGAACCTTACTGGTGGGACGACTGGAATTCTGTAAGCTTTCGCAGCCAAGTTCGTGCAAGGAGATTCCTGCAACCACCTTCCTTAAGGACACGTCTGCATGGCACAGCGCAACTGAGCCCAGCGGCACCTGAGCTAGCCCTAAGTTAAACTTCTGGAGCAGGAGGTGCTGCCAAGGAGAGTCTATTCCCCCGGGCAGGAGCATGCGCTGATAACTCACAGTAGAAAAGCAAATCCCGCTATTACTATAACCTGCTGTAGTCTCTCAATGGAGCAGCGGAGGAAAGGAATAGCAGTAAGAAAAACAAGCTTACATTACCAAATGTAATCCTCCCTACTTATTTCTTCCATTTAAAAGACTTCTATATAGATATTTTCCGTTTTATTTTGGGAAAAGAAAGGCATTAGGAATTATGCTTGGTAGATGAAATTCAGAAAAGGCTTAAATAGTCAGTATTCCCATTTCTGCCTGTGAAGAATTTTAGCAAGAGCCTAGCTGCTCAGATGCCCGCACGGTGGAGCCTAGTTTCAAAATCAACAGAGGCGCTTAAAAGCCAGGAGGATGCAGATTCCCCAGAGGGGAGGGTCCAGCCTCCCTCTGAGATGCTAAACAGAGCCCATGGAAATTGCCTGGTTTGCCTAAGGGACCCTAAAGGGCACTTGCCCTGGTGTGAGTAAGGTACTGAGGAGGATGCTGCCTGCAGCCAGTCAGTAGGAAAGTCTGGCCACGGGAGAGAAAGATTTGCTGTTTAAATGTACCTACCTAAACACCTGCTTTCCTCTCCTCCCCATTTTCTCCCCAGCCATCTTGCACAAACTATCTGCCTCAGAAGTATGAGCGGCTAGTGAAAACATAGGGTTGTGTCCAATTTTGTCTCTTTGACCTTTTGCAACTGAGGCAAGGATGTTTGAACGTCTCCTAGGAGAGCCGAGGTCTAGGTGTATCAGACTTAGGCAAGCCAAAAAGTTTGGAAGAGAAGGAGCGAAGAGCTGGCATGGTCTGCCAACCCTGATTAGTGAAGAAAAAAAAAAAAAAAAAAGAAAAGAAAATGAAAAAGTGAAAAAGGCTTATAGCCTGTATCTGAGCTGCTTTGGAATTTGAGGTTCTCCCAGAAAACAGAGCAGAAGCACACTGGGCCTGCAATGAAAAAGAGAGAATGGAGATGGAGTAAGTCTACATAAAAGGGTTGGGAGATAGAAGGGAAAATCTACTTTTGTACTGGTTAGCTCTCCGCGTGTCTGAGGAGTCAAATGCAGCAGGAAAACCTCTGCTCCTTCCACTCTGGAGGCGCCAATGCCCACAAACCCCCATGGTTGGTTTTTAATATATTGATATTTATTTAATGGGCCACAGCTGTCTTTGAAAGTCTAAATTAAATGCACATTGTTGGATCTTAACGTAAAGCATTACAGCGTTCCTGTTGACCAAAGCAGAATGCAGATAATCGGGTTCAAATCCAACCTCAGATCCTAATCCTAAACGAACCTTTCATTACAGGACAGCAGAAGACGAGTGGAGGGGTGGAGGCACAGGGTCAGACCGTATCAGTAGGTATTGCTTTCTCTGGCTCAGTTTTCCCTGAATGACTTCAGTCGTGCCCAGAGGGACAAGGTTCCTGCAGCTGGAGGGAAACTTCTAAAGCATCCTTCAGCTGGCAATAAGGAGGAGGGGTGTGTGCGTGCGCCAGTGAGAGGAGGACCGAGAGAGGGACTGATCTCCGAGCCTCACCGAAAGAGAAGACTGCAAATGATTTTCCTGGCCCACCTCGCACACCCGGAGTCCTTGGGGAGAAGGGTACTGTTGTTAAGAGTAAAGTGTTTCCTCTTATGAAAACACATGTGGGAAAGTGTTAAAACTCTGCAGCGTGGTATTTTGGTTTCCACATCCCCTGATGAAATGTTTCTTGCCTGGGGAAAACAAAACAGAAGAAAAATATTCCCTGGAAATATCTGCATAATTTACTCCCACACACCTAGTGAGAGATTTACAATTGAACAGCAGTTCCCTCAAACCATCACAACACTGCGCTCTGAATTATGCTTCTGTACTCCTACCTGTAAATTATACTGTTAATTAGTTAATGGCTGTAAAGTGCTTTGGAGAAGAAAAGAGCGCTCATTAAATATCATTGTTCTGTACTCCAGTGTGCAATGTTCCACTGTTCATTAATCTCCAACCTCTTCCTGAACCTCTTGCTAGCAATTAAGTTTCATACCCTCAAATGGCAAATTAGTCTATTGTCTGACTGAACTGAGATCAACATCACCGTGTAGAAAGTGTTTCCTGAAACCTTAGCTTCAATTACCTTCTAGGCAATTTCAAGCTGGTGTCTCACGTCAGATTCCCAAAAGAAAATCCTTGGTCTACGCCTTGAAAACCTCAGTCTTGGATAAACCAAAACCCCACTACAGACAAGGGAAATCTAATATACGAGATTAGATTTTTCAAACAAACTCAAATCCCACTGAGAAGAGAAAATGAGGGGCCAGATGTTCAGAAGAGCTCACTTAGCATGCAGGATGCTGAGGACTTTAAACAACCTAAAGCTCTTTTATGGGTGCTGAAACCTGCTCTCTTTCGTACATCTGGCAGCAAGTCATGGTGAGAGGCATTTGAAAACCTCGCCCCTTCTGCTGCCTGGCCAAGTTTGAGATCGATTCGTCCCTAAAATTCCTGGATGCCTTCACTGAGTATAATTTCCAAGCTGAAGTTAGCAAGAGACCTGGCTGCTTTCTCCAGTTTCTGGTCTTCCTCCTAGGGCTTAGCTGGCTGAATGGTGTTCCTTATTGCACTTGGGAAAGGGTGCACACAGCCAAACCTATGAGCAAGCAAAAAACCAAAACCTCCCATCCGATGGGCAACCCCATTTTCCTGTTGGGTTCCTGCTTGAGAAATCACCTCACTACTTTTCTTAGGCTGCCTTTCTAAACCTCTAACCCCCCCCCTAACCATGCCAGCCACCCTCCCGCATGGAGCAGTCATTACCTTCTTGCTCTGTGACAAGCCCTAAACAGACACCGAGGGCCGGGGCGGGTGTGTGTGTGTGTGTGTGTGTGGCACAGCAGCTTTGAAAAACACAAGCCCCGTGCCCATCGATTTAGAGCGTGTCTTCCTCCTCTTACAGATGCTTCTTTGAAGGTTTGCGCTTTTTTAAGGCAAGACTGGTTTACAGGCCTACCAGAGAATTTCTAAGCAGCTGCTGGGACCAGGTTTGATCATCTGAGCCACACCGGGGTCTCACAAACCTGTCAACGACGTCTGTTTCCTCTTTTTCCCTTCCGAGCTCCTCTTCCCCCCAGTTTTCTTGGAAGTTTTGGGTTTCTCAGTCAGTGCCACCTGGGCAAAGCCGTGACTCTCGTCCTCCCTGCCCAGGGGCCAGTTTAAGTGCTGCAGTGGTCTCCGAGCATCTCCCACCATGCAGCTGTGGTAGAAGGCAGGCACCTCATGGCCCTTGAGCTCTTCCCACGGCAGAAGGCCCTCCGCCGGCGTGTCCTGGAGGAAATCGAAGTTCCACTTCTGCTGGGCCCCCTCGACGCTGTGGTGCAGCATGTGCTGGAAGTCCTGCCGCAGCTGCTCGTGGTCTACGGGGCCAAAGAGGTTCCTCCGGACGTGGGTCGTCTTCCCCAGCCTCCACTCCATCTTTTCTCCCCAGCGCTGCTCTCCGGAGAGTGTAGGCAGCAGTGACTCCCTGCCAAGGACAGAAAGCCCATCAGCCTAGGCTTGTGAGCCATTGCGCGCTCAGTTTAGTGGGCACCGCGTGCTCTTTTAAGGGGAGTGTGGGAGACACTTTTGATCCTGCTAGAGGAGATCTTGGCTCATTTTGAAAGAACTTTATCCCAGTCTCCAGTCCAGAGTGAGAATTCCCATCTATAGGATGTGTCTACAGAAGGGTGGGGAAGGGTGAAAAGCCCTCACCTCTTTTGTGCACCCTTATTTCACTGCACACTGAGCGAGGGCTTGCCCTACAGGGGACAGAGACACACGAGGAAGTGGACAACGTCCCTTGAGGTAGTGCAGCAAAAGACAGAAAGCACTGAAGTGGCACCTGAGGAAAACAACCACGTGTATCACCTTAAACAAGGGAAAGGGCCCGAGAAAGAGAATTTCCAAGACAACGAAGGGTGATGGCAAACAGTAAAGTACAGAAGACATGTTTCATTTTACAGTGGGGGTGGTATCTTTTTCCTGACTACTCTTACCATTTGTTTTGCAGTGTCAGCCAAGCTGGAAGCTAAAGATGATCAGAGCCATCACCTGTTTCTTACCTGACATTTTCATTCCCTTTTCTTGAAGCAATTACCTGAGGAATGGTCCCAGTCACAGACAAAACCCACTGTCTTCGCTACAATGCCAAATCCCAATCAAGCATCAGTAGGTGGACTTCCCATTTGGTAGGCCAGCACCGGGGCAGAAGAGATGGGGTTTGCACCCTCCTCTAGCAGGTCAGGTGGGGACACAGCAAGATGGAGAAGAGAAATTGGGCATTTTGCGGATTTCATAGGCCAGAAGGGCATTAAGTATACCAAATACATTCACCCACTAATTCCTGCACCAGGTCTTTAATTTCTGGAAGAGACTGAAAATAGTTCTTAAAGGCCATTCAGTTCTTTCTCTCTCTGGATCCGCAAAACTCAGCCCCTCCTAAAGCTGTGACACATAGCAGCAGGCAGGCTAAAAAGAAACCTCAGAGAACCAGCAGTAAACAGCCAAACTTTCGGTTGGTGGCGCTACTGAATTCTGAAGGGCATAAAGCTTTTGGGGACAGAGCTGAGAGGTGTCAACTGGTGATTTGTCTACAGACGATGCAGTCAGAGCAGCAGAGCTCCTGCAGAACCTCAAGCTTCGGGCTTGCTCTCCAACATCCCAAAGGGTGCTTCAGCCGCAGCA